ACACAAGGTTCGAGTTTCAACAAGACGTCGTTATCCATGGCACCACACTTACTGTATGAGGAGAAATGAAGTGGTAAATTCCGCGATCAATAAGAGGATTTCGGATGAAAAGCGCATGTCCTCGTCCGTTGTAGATACCTTTAAACGTGCTGTGCTCAAAGCGGAAGGAACGAGGGTGTCACGAGATGTAATTCAGCTGTTTTTGTGGACGTATCGAAACACTCTGAATCCAAACACACCGGAGGGCAAATCCCCTGCTGAATGTCTATTTGGACATTTGGTAGCCTGGTCCAAAGAAAGGTAGGAAAACGCAACGAGCAAACGAGAGAGGAGCAGGATAACAGGCTTCGGAGGTTCGAGATGGGAGATTTGGTGTACGCACGAAACTTCCAAACACCGGGAAGATGGTCTAGTGGAACGGTTATTGGTAAGTGGGGTAAGGTTATTTATGAGATAAGGGTCAGAAAGGACAGGTGGACCAGACACGTTAATTATCTACGACCGCGGCATGGAAATACCCAAATACCACAAGAACCAGCAGCCCTACAGTGGGATATACTACTAGATACATTTCGTTTGGAAAGCGGAACTGATACCAAAGCGGAACGCAGCCGGTCGAACACGCACCACACGGCCTGCCATGTAGACCAAGTCGAAGGAGAAAGAGTCCGTGATGGCTACAAAAGGATCAAGATCAAGTGCGGAAAATAGGGAAGATCAATCAATTCGAAGGAGGAGGTAATAGAGAGGTAAGCGGAGCCAATGCCCAGAAACAAGGTTGCGCGCGAACTTACCGCGGAGCACGTGTGCTGTCTGCTACATGCAAAGGTCATCATGACGGGCGTGAAACGACCTTCGAGCTTTCCGTCGAATTTGGGAATCGGGTGCGAATTGATCCGCCAGTAAATACAAGCCCACGTCAAGGGAGTCGAACTATTCAGTCAAATATGGCAAACACGTGGGAAGGAATTCACTCACATTGGCTGAGAACCAGACGCAGAAGAGTGGTTGGTCGTAGTTTGCAAAATTAGCATGTTTCGTTCACCAATAAATACAGTTGACATATCATGTAGATATACTCTGTCTATCGAGCCTTGGCATTTTGCATTCCTTCGGTTGGCTGGGCGCATGACTGAGCAGTCAGACGGTCGCAGTCTTAGAGGTGAAGTAAGGCAGCAGCACCGTAGTGACCTGGAGATTCCTCTGTTTGTCTGTGTTCAATATTATTAAAACATAATATCATTTGGTACCCATCCAACTTAAAAAGATTGCCTGTTCGAATGGTGTCTACATATGTTTGAGTCAACCAGACGAATCGCACTTCGCGCGCGTCCTGCTTTCGGCTTCGAAGAGTGTTCGCTGCGTCTAGACTGGCGACTACACCTTCCTCCTAGCTGGAACATTTTGCGGTGCCTTCAGCTAGCCGGATTGTGCGTTTCGATAACTAAACGTCTATCCCGCCATATATTCGTCTTTCTCTGAATCTTCCTTGAGGTATGACGAAGCTGAGTTTATAGCGACCGAACGGCTCCGCTATAATACAACAGCGGGTACCTGGAGAAACTCTGGGTGGCCAGTGTCGCAACATTAGTAGTCTCCATTAGACCTTACTGTACGGTTGCGAAACCTGGCCCATAAGATCGGCGGACATGAAGAGGCTAGTTACGTTCGACCATCGGTGCCTTCGCAGTTTGGCTCACATATGGTGGGAACACCGCGTGAGTAACGAGCGTGTTCGACGCATTGTTTACGGCCCAGGAAAAGGATCTGAACCGCTCAGCACCGTTATTTCCCGCACCAGACTCCGATGGCTCGGCCACGTGTTACGCATGCCAGCCCACCGACTCCCTCGACGTGCATTGTTTGCTCACCGGGGATGTGGGTGGAAGAAGAGGAGAGGTGGCCAAGCAATGACTTGGTCCAGGGGAATGAAGTCCCTCACCTCGGAGCTAGCCTCGGTTGGAGCTTCACGGCTCCCTGGTTGGGGTCCAAAAGACGGTGAACACGTTTGGCTGGATACACTTGCTGACATGGCAAGGAGCCGACCTTAGTGGCGTTCATGCTGTGAGTTTCTTTGTCCCTCCCCATCCCTTTTAGTCTCCCCATCTATCTACGATCTCATTTCCTAAGGTAAAACATAAAAAAAAATTTCTTTTTGCCTAGTAGCTAGCTGGAAGCTTACCGGAACGATGCCTATCCGTTGCTGGTAGCTCAGCTGGCATGCAACTGTTGTAGCTACTTCTCCTTTGTGTATTGTATTGTATGTATGTATGTATTTCCTTCATGTATTGCGGCACAATAGCAGAGGTGTTTTTCCCACCTCTAGCTGATGTGTATAATGATGATGATGATCCATTAGACCTCTCATATTCAGTGTAATTTAGAGGGAGTGAAATCTAGAGGAGTAACGGATGAGCTGGAGCCGATCCATTCCTTTTCGACACAAGTAGCAACCATGGGTGGGTTGAAACTGAATGAAAATACCTAAGTGTTGTAACAACGCACAAACTGCAGATGAAACACACACGAGGAAGAAAAGAGAGCAGTTTCTGCGCAGATCACTTGCGAAATAGATGTGTGCAAGTCACACAAAGATGAAGAAGATTAGCGGAATTATACCTGTCGGACGTGCACATTGCGGTGGCAGAGCAGTAGCTCGTTTCGTGATGGAAACACTCATTGAGTCCAACACTGTAAAGAATACTGACTGTACCTCCCAGAAACGACTAACAATTCCCTGGGGCAGGGGTCACCAAGTTTTTTCACAGCGGGCCGGATAACTAGAAGAACTGAGTGGCGCGGGCCGGATTACTGGAAAGATGACTAACGCGGGCCTGATAACTAACAAAGGGACTATGCAGAATTATTTGAAGTCAGAACGAAAACTCTGAGAATAATGACAACGAAAACGCGACGCTCAGGGTATAGGCTTTTGTTTTTTTCCGTTGTTTTAATAAAGGCTGAAATAAATGGGATCCAAACAAAAATAAAGATGTTGAAGTATAAATATAATAAAAATGCATTCGAAACGACGGAAAAAGGGAGCAGGGCCATTGGGCATTTAGTAATACCAAATGTATGAACTGCAACAATTTGCGTTTCAAGCGCAATTCCGTACTATCAACCTGCAAGTTATTACAATTATGGTTCCAAAACTGACACATGCATGAACTAGTGTTGTTTTATATGACGCATGCTTCAAGTAGGCGAACCAACTCAAATATTGAGGCACAAAGTTGTGAGGTGAACAAAAACACGTTAGGGTGCACAAATGAATAGGCTCCATGCGTGACCACACTCACATCAGTGTTCCAACGACGTGGGGTCACTTATTGGACGGTAATACGCTCTCACATGTAATAACTCGGGCTGGTGTTTAAACAGCGTAAGGTCATTGACAATGAGAAAAGCAGTGTGAAATGTAAATCATATTACAGCGCCTCGTGTTCCCTATGGTTTAACAAGCTAATTCGGGTACGATCGGCGGGCCGTGGTTTGGTGAACCCTGATCTAGAGTGATCGAGCTCAAATCATCGGACAAACAGGTACTAACTAAACCTGACGCACAACAAGGGACTTAGAAGCAGCTATTAGAGTGCAGTCGGACCGAAAATATGATGTATACGCAGCCCCGTCAGCCCAATTACCGATAGATCTGTGAGAAATAAAAACATCCGCGGTACGTTGGTACGTTGCATCGACGCTTCTCTGTCACCTGGCCACTGACAGTTGGCTGTGGGGGTTAGGGACACCGTGACGTCGCCAGCGCCTACGCATGCTCGAATAGGTGATCTGCGGTTTACAAGCAAGATGTCTAAATCCCTCAACCAATGGCAGGCAAATCTGCTCAATGGTTCGAAAAAAATGACGAATGGTGACCACATCAAAAGGAAGAGAAGACGAAGTCGTAAGGCATATGAAAGTCAGCAAAACGCGAAATCGACAGCAAGTGAATCGGTGCACGAGTGACATGGGGGAAAGCAAATGCGCACCTAAGAGATCCACGAGAAGCATAAGTAGACTGCATGAGCGTGTCAGATATGTCCGAAATGTGCACAAGCCAAAACGCACAAAACCAACACAGTTAATTACACGAAGACGAGGGAATGATCACATGAAGTATATGACGTGAGACCTACTCTAGTGCTGAATGATGAACAGTAAATTGCATCATACTATACGACTATACTCCTGTTGTCCGTACAGAAGACCGGCTGTCCAAAGTCAGTTTGCATATTCAAGAATTCCCGGACAGAAGTAAACAGCTGACGACCAGACGGTGTTGTTGGTGTCAGAGAACTAGGCCGACATAAGCTCGTGTTATGCCCCAACGCATTGGAGTTGAGTCGATATCAAGATGATTAACTGATGTACAACGAAATCGGTGAGGTTGTCCATCCTTCCGAAGATGACCGATGCAGATAATTCGGAAAGGGTCGCTCTTCCCGTGCACGATCAACGAGACGAGGCAAATGTATAGCGAAAAAAGGTTGCCAACTATGCATAATGCAAGAGGAGAGTACTCGAAGCTAGTAAGGCAGAAAAAGTAAAAGAAATGGCCAAAGTAGAGAATTCAGCAGAATGGGTGATTTACAGCGAATAAGCAGATTCATCTTGAATCAAAAGAGTCACGTCGTTAACATCGGAAAGGAATGGTCATGAGGACACATGAGGCAACATATGGGGGGGTCGAAGATCCGCTGTACGTTTCAGTGCACGTCGGCAGTGTCACATGAATTGAAATGTGGATATGCTAAAGTTCCTAGAGAGCAGGTGATTGTTGATTATGACTAATGCCGCATGCCACGACCAACAGTGGCGCTCAAGCAGGGATTGGGATGGAAAAGAAGATCGCATGCTTGAGCCTAAGTAGGTTTAAGTCAGGTAACAGAAAAGAAGAAAATATGTCAGTGGTCAACCTCCGAGAGCGCAGAGAATGAAGAGACAATTGTTAGCATGGCATATAGAGCGATACAGCGGCATAGGGCAAGAAAACTCACTCCATTCGCTGCACAAATTGGTAAGATGATACGCTTCAGGCAGTCACGTGAGAAATAGCGCCCATCTCCACCAGTAACCAGGCGAACGGGTTGATCGCCAGATAATGCGTCTCCAAGGCCAGCAGTTAAGATGGACTGAATGAATCTCTCTGAGTAACCAGGTTGCTGAAAAATCTTGGTGGCTTTTCTCAAACCGCTTGTTCCAAGCTTTTGGTCATCAGACGGCGTTGTGTCCTTCTCGACAATGGTAAACACATGTTTACTCATGCTGGAAACAAGCAGTGCTGTAAAGTAAACACAGATGTAATACTGAAAGCCAGTGACGAAGTTTATGACATCTCCGATAGGACACCATCACGACAAACGAGCCAACAGTAGATGTGAAGAACTAACATATGAGAATTCAAATGGAGATATCCTCTCAGTTTAGGTGAACAACTTCTATCAGGGCATCGAAATGCGGTGAATCCAGTTGCCATGACTCGCACCACCAGAAGAAAAAGGGCGAAAAAATGGGATAAAATGGAAACAAGATAGGAGAAATTGGTTAGAAAAAGTGAATAAAACCAATCGGTATGCTAGATGTGATCCTCAACTACTGATGTATTGAATCCGAGACCCCTATCCTTGAAGACAGCACGAAACAGCTTGAACAATCCTCTTAGTTAATGTTATTATGCCAGTATATTGACTAGGCACCACTCAAATAGGCGCAGCTATAGCATAGAATGCATACAGAGGTCAAGGAACATAAAAAGGAGAATTGTTGGATACCCGTATTGCTCACCCGGTGCATTCACCTGACAGAACCAATACTCTGCAAATATTGGTGATCAGAAACGACCAACCCCTAATTGCTTAAAAGCAAAGTGGCGATGTTGATGATCCCTACATTTATACTGGCTTTGTCGCAGCGTCCTACACTCTACGAAAAACTGATAGGCTGGTAGCCTACCGCCCCCATAGATGACTGAGCAATTGAAAAGCCGCATAGGCTTTGCTGGTACGCTAAGGAATCTTCACTGTGATGTGAACACGAGAGATGACACAACTAACGAGGTAAGTGAATCGATCCATCACATCTAGAGGCTGTCCATTGATAGCTAAAGCCGGAGGTATATCGGTCCAGTCCTGTAGTAGTGTTTTACACGTTGGAATTGCAAACTATGTGCCACTGCGTGTCAGTCTATTCATTAGTGTTTGCACAACCGATTAGTCTGACCGAAGGAGAGCGATGCTATCCATATCTCAGGGTTTGACAGCTGGTCACTTTACAAGGCTTGCAATTCAGAGGAGGCTAATGGGACTGTGGTGGTAGTTAACGTTTGAGCAGCAATGACCCCAGGCTGACCTCTTGCTTGTTAGTAGCGAAACCCCAAGTTAAACTCTAATGAGCGTGTCGAAGACAGCAAGAGCACAGTTGATTTGGAAAAACACGAACAGCGCAGAAGCGAATGCCATGAGGGAAACAATCGGAGGAAATGCGCCACACTGTGAGTGAATCTAATTGGTACGAAATGAAAAATGACCCTGTTGTTCTTGGAGTAATAGAATTTCGAACAAGGCCCAGACTTTGATTTGGATTCTTGGAGGGATATCTCGGCAGGAGCCGTCACTTATGAGCGCTTTGATCCTAAAGTTGAAACCGAAGATGCAAAACAACCCTTGCGGACCCTACTTGGAGTGGGAACCTCGAAGGGGTGACCCCTGTACACTCTGATGCTGTATCGAGAGTCGGGACAGAGTTTGTGACAAGAATGGGATTTTCGGGTGCGTCCTCAATGCAACGCTCTACAACAGCAAAGTATAACACGAACAACATATACAAAGCAAAGCTTTATTAAGGACAAGGATGGGGGCATACATTAGCGTAATCCGCAGACATCAATAGAAATTGATCTATTCTGTATAACGAGGTTTTTTGGCCCCTTCGTTGGCCAATCGGTCCGCTGCTTCGTTCCCCTCGACACCCGAATGACCGGGAACGTACAACTAAACAAAACAGAAAGTATGAGCAGATCAACAAGTGGAGAGAATGAAGCGGTATAGTTGATGTTGACACAAACTAATGGAGCGAAGCAGAGATAAAACGGCGCTTTCCTCTTTGCCATAATCAGCAAGTGAGCGAGAGAAAAGGAACTGAAGTGGGTAAGGGGGAAATCAGCCGGAACCATGGAAACTGGTGAAACCGTAAATGACTGAATGGCGTAGATGAGCAATGTTCAGAAGACGAGACCGACGGACGATTCGAGTGAGTCCATAGACGAGTGAATTGCCGATAGCAGGTCAAGGATAAAGAATGCATGTAACGATCGACAGAACGAGCGTGAGGAAACCACAAATCCACGATGAAAGCACCGTACCGGATTTCCCAGTCTACACTTGCAAATGCAAACGGACAAATGGGACATCAGAGATGCGAGAGCAGAGTTAATCTGTGCTCTTCCATGGTGGTAAAGGTGCACAAATATGATAGAGCAGGCAGGCAGAAACAACCACCAAGAGAAAAATACACATCGGAGGCAAGAGCATACAGTTAGGCGGCGACAAGAAACATGAGGGTCGCATGGCTTCCAGCTGCATGGAATACACCGAGTGAATATATAAAACTGTGCAGAAGTAACTGATTCAATGTTTGCAAGCCGAGCGACAGTAGTCAACACTGGTGAGAGATACAGGTACCAGCGACACTACTGGGCGAGCAATATGTATACGAACGTGAAGTCAGATTGACATATTGCGAGTTCAGTCGGAGATCCACAATAAGTCGACCTAACATTTTGAATAAATACGAATGTGCTTACATCATGCTAAATTGGTTTACTTCAAGTGGAGTAAGTTAAACGCATCATAAGCTGACGCGAAGCTTTGGGACGCAACTCCAAATACAAAACGGAAGTGGACGTGGAAAAGGTAAAAAGAGAAATTAGCACTGTCGGTTGATTAGCAGATACAGACGGTACGTCCTGGATATCAAGTCAGAGGGAAGGGGTTGGCTAGAATCAACAGAGACAAATCAAGACTCTAAGGTGTGACCCAAAGATCGAACATATACAATAATATCTCACTCGAGAATTGGACAGTGGGGGAATCCTGAAAATCTGGCGGTAACATGCTCAGATTTGGTAGTGCGGATTCAAAATTGACAAGTGGAGAGGCAGTACAGTCAGTGTAAACTAGGAGACTCCCATCGGGTATCACATTGACAGCTGAATCCTTATGGGAATATTTTGTGAGGAAATTTACGATAGTTGGAGATAAAATGGGCGAAGCCCACTTCTATGGGGAAATGTTTGCAGATTTTCCATAAACTTTTACGCCATCTGAAGTTTTTGTGTACAGAGTGAGGAAGCGATTTACATACTTCATAAGAACATTCGCGCGGGTGAATAGAACAGAGCGATCAGCTGACCCGATCGAGCTGCTGAAATTGTGAGACACATAGTTGTTCACGGTGTGCCTGACGCTGGGCTGACGACAAGGTCATGATAAAAACTTTGCCTGTTCTGTTCACAGCTGGGATTCTTACTCTTCGGTAGGGCTGCAGACGAGAATGTAGACCAAAAAGGCCGCACCTACTGACGTCTTGTGAGGCTCCTGTGATCAGTACAACCATTTCTAAGAGTCATTGGACAATGCTAAAATGGTGGCTTCATTCATCAGAAAGAGGATAAATCAAGGGATCGGTAGTTGCGCATTCTGCTTCAATGTCGTTAATTGACTTTGTTCCCTATTTCGTCTGGAGTACAGGTTTGACAAAGCGATCAATATTGCATCCACATTCTGTGTAGGTGATGAGGAAGAGGGTTATGGAGGGCGACCAAAAAGACTCCGGACGTGCAAGGAAGTGTAGTATGAATGGGTCGACATGCCACCGTACATTAGGAGTAGCAACTTTCACAGTGGAAGCACCGAAAAGATTATTGCGCAAATTAGGGAAGCCCATGCAGCATTTCAAAACCTGGATGATCTATGGAGAAATTGCTGTTTTACTGATGAAGCAGTTGGAGCGAATGAGGTTACCGTTTAAATCAAAGGCATGGCTAATGGCCACTGAATTCATGAAAAAATAATCCGTTTTCAATTACTGTTGCATGCTAAGCATCGTTCACTAGTTGGCAACAAACCGCGTGGCGCGGCAGCGAGCCATCCGTTAGGTCTGAACCACCGCTTTGAACAAATCACGATTTACACATGCATCCTGTTTAGTGCAGCGAAAAAGCACGAGAGGGTCAAAAAGAAAAAGCGCATGGTTGATAGATGATCCTAATCCGCATTCACTGCCATCGTCGGGCATGTTCTCCGTTAGAACACCATTTATTCTTGCTCCTTCCCCAACGAAATGGTATGTGTTCGTGTTCATTTTCATTCCGATATTTCCAGATGCTTACATTACGATAGACGCGAATCATTACAACCATATCCATAGTACTTCAGTGCTCGATTCGCAAATAATTCACTTGGCTGAAAAAAATTGAATTAGCGGGTTAGTGAATAGTAGGAAGATTTGTTGTTTTTGAGAAGATTCGTCGCAGTTAGACTCCGACAGACGGTCAACACACATCCAAGAAAGCGCTCGGTGGCCGTTACGCCTTAGGTCAGGTTTGTTCCTCGCATGCCCTCAACATGCATGACAGTGGAGGACGAGCTGCGCTATATCGCAGTTAGATATCACTTGTGGTGGTCCGCCGTCATCACCCATTGCTCAGTAGCCTACGTAGCTGACTCGTAAGTAAGGTTATGGGTCCGGATCCGGTGGGTGCGCGCTACTGACGAGTTCCAACAGTATGAATTAACTGGGTGTTAATGATTCGCACGCGTCTAGCTAGTATTCGATAGAATGTTTACAGACGCTAGTAATGGCATGCTAGCCCCGCCAGTATGCATCTCGTCGGTTGGAGGCGTTCTGGTGAATCACAAGAAATGAGTGCACCCCGTTAGAGGCGATTAGTGACGTCCTACTTTATGCCAATCAAGCAATGCTCGTAGTTCGCGACCATCCTCTCATGTTTGAGTGTTGAAAACGGTGTATCTGAGGTCTCCACACACTGAATGGAAAACACCAATGATCACAAATCACCAAAATGCTGTGGTAGGAAAATCGTTTCAGAGTAAGAAGATTAGGTCTCTCCGCAAGTAATTGATACAATTCGGCATATAGTATTGATAAAAAACTGCACAAACGGGATAAAACGATAGAAAAGACAACGATCAAAAAATTTCAGCCATGGGCGAATAGTAAGAATAAGTCGAACTGAACGAAATGAAAACTGACCCATTCTACGTCAACACCAGAATCTCTAGTGTATTTCAGCAGGCGCCTCACGGGTTCATGTAGCTTAACCGGCTTGCCATCAGCCAACTTCCAGCCATTCTTCTCCCAAACAGGTCCCCACTCAGTTGCGCACATTTGGGTAAACTTGCTGTCAGTGACGATGGCGATCCGGGAAAGTCCCTCACTTTTTGCCTGTTTGGCAGCAGCGATTGCAGCCTGAAAAAGAACAGCAACTGAAACCATTTGACGAAAAGCTGCAACGACCGACTACCAAGTGGCCAAGCTCCGGTAAAATAATGCGCCTTATGGACCACTTAAGTGACCTTCAAATAGTGATGGAAATCAAGGACCCCGAAATCGAACGTATAAACGCAGAAAAAGAATAATCATGAGCAGTAGGATAATATAAACAGCCTATCATCTTGTTATCTTCAAACACCAACAGTTTATGGTGTGCGTGTGCAGCACTTGGTGCAATACAATCCAAAAAGGCAGTGAACGGTGACACTGCAAGCTACTTCCAGTGATTTGCACCTGTTTGTTTTAGGGTGATGCGGTACGTCAATAAGTAAACTCCGTTTTGACTCAGCGAATAACTATGGTGATAACATACCTCAATTTCAGCACGGTTGTTGGTCTGTTCACCGCCAAGTCTCTTGGAAAGGTTGCTGCAACAATAATGTTAGAAAGCTAAGTGAAGCCTACCGGGGGTGACCTGGGCCCCAGTATACCCCATATCCCGCTTGTCTGTTGTCACTCGGACCGATGCACGCGCCATCCGTAAACACGTGTGGTCGATCAGAAGTTGGTGCGATTACTGTTAAAAAGAAAAATGGAATGGTGTGAATGCTATCTAGTCCAACCCGATGATTCAAATATAAATGCCCATCGCATAAAGGCTGGACCTTACCGTGGTGCGATAATTTGCGTACTTTAGCGACCCATTGAGCTATGCTGAGCGGCGCTACTTGCATCTTTAGTCCCTCGTACCAGATTGGTCAATAGTTCGACGCCAAACAAACTCAGTCTCCTGGTCCTCCAGGTTGGGGGCTGGAGTGAGGGTGGCTCCTTATTTCTTAGAACGGAATATGCAGCCCAGTGCCAAAACTGCTGCCCTGTGGTCTGGCTTTGATACCAGAGGCTTTGGTTGAGAACCCTAATCGTGCTGCTGTCTAGGTCTGGGCAACCTGGCAGTATCATGTCCACGCAACACAATGACTTGACTCACAAACCATTACTTGATGCTCTGCGCCCTCGCAGAGGATAATTAATGGCGCCATAGCCAATGCATCGAGCGGGGTTGATAGGGGTAAGGATGGGGCTGCTCAAGCTTTTCAGTCTTCTTATTCACTCTCTTACGCTTTTCAGCCTTATCGTCCAGTTCCAACTTCCCTTAACACACCCGTTTTCAACTCCCCAATTTTGCCCCCCCCCCCACCATGGTTTGATAGGCGTTCATCTGCTAGTTTCAACTCATACAAACGCAGAGAGTCACACTTGCCTTATCGACAAGTCCATGTCTAACTAAGCGGCCAAGCCCAGTTTAACGGCTACTATTTGAAGCCGTCGATCCACCCTAAGAATTGCATGCTTCAGCGTACACACATTGTTACAGATCGGTCAACATGCAGCAGTTGCTTGGACATTAGAGACCCTCACGATCGGTATCCAATGCCTATCGGAAACCAGCCTACAAGACTAGAACTCTGTGGTTGCCTTGTGACCCCTTCCAGGTGAATAGGACGAAGTAGCTTCGAGTACTGGCTAAGCCGTTGTTGTCATTGTCCTGCTCTGATTGATTGGATCCCAATCAGCAGCAGGAAGTGTGCGGTCCGACTGGTTAACTAGGTTAAAGCTTCGAAGTCACACGGGGCTAATATGTCTGTTTGCCATCGCTGCCTACGCCCCCACAAACTCTGGCAATGACTCGGCAGACTGAACGAGCTCTTACGTCATACAAGAAGTACGGAGACTGTAGTGTTGACTGATGATCTGAACGCACAAGTCGGAATATTGTCCACTGATGAGTTGCTTCTGGGTTACCAACATGGTGTAGGCTCCCGTAATGATAACGGTGAACAGGTGCTACACCTGTGTGAAGGTGCTCGCTTATTTCTTGCGAGCACTAACTTCCGACACAGTACCCGCAGAAGAGTGACTTGGCACCCAGCAACCTAGAAGAAGCCATGGACGCAAAGCGTTCACATTGCCATCAGTTACCGCTGGAGAGGCTGCGTCCAAAACAGTCGCTCGATTTGGACCACGTGTGAGCAGTGACCATGAACTTATACATGCTGATTTGTAGGAGCATTTCGCGGACGCCTACGACGACGCTGTGAGCGCGTAAACACCAGCCAACTGGCGAACTCCAATGTTCTGAATTCGTATCAAAGTTCGCTGGCATTCGGGTTAACTAAGCTCTCACTTAATGGAGCTGAAGGTCCTTGATCGCATGTTCACCAGACCTTACTAGCAGCAACCAAATTTTCATATGGTATATCTAGTAGACGACATGGACATTAGTTCTCTTCGCGGTCTCTGGAACTCATCGATGCTTGACGGCACATTCCAGCTGGAAGCGAACACAGTGCGACTCGCTAAGACCACAGGGCAAAATTCCGTGTTGGCCTGAAGAGAGACCGTGAATCCTAGTGGCCTCATTGTGCGTCAGATGAGAGTGGCTGCTGCCCTAGGTAACCACCGAAGATATTCCGTCTGATAAGGGAAACGGGTAGCAGGAGACCTGGCGTTACTGAAACCATTTGTGACGAGGGTGGACAGCTAATCCACAACTTGTTAAAACACTTGAAGCGTTGAGCTGAGCAATTTGAAAGGCAATTTAAGCGATCGGTGTTGTTGAATTCCCTACAGGCTAGTCATCTCCCCGCTCTCATGGCTGTCCCTTTGGATCTACCCTCTCGCACAGAAGTCGAAAATGAGATCGGACCGCTAAAGTTGAATGAGGCCGCGGAACCAAATGATCTTCAACCAGACCTTTTCAAATTCGAGGGACCTACTTTTGTTGCCCATTTACACAAATTACTAGTAAAACGGTGAAAGTAAGAAACTGGCCCAACCGATTGTAGCCACGCCGTTATAGTCCCAATTTTCAAGGGAGGCTCACGCTCGAAATGCGGCAACCATAGATGAATCAGTATGATCTCCATCACCTCCAAATTGCTTACCCCTGTCATCCTTCACAAACTGACTCGCACTCGTTAAAGCCAGATTAGTGAGGAGCAAACGGGATTTCGTCGTGCTCGGGAATGCATCGACCACTTATTCACATTGCTTCAGTTGTTGGTGCACCGTCGCATATATTGGTGGCCCTTCGTGGCCATGTTCGACATCAAATGTGACCTCGATTCGGTCGATCTGTGTCTTTTGGGACTGTCTACTAAGGAAAGGTGTAAATATAACGCGAACGTTTTACGCGTGTAGCTTGGGCAGAGTGTGGACTTGCGGCAAGCGATCGTTGCGTTTCAATATCTCCAGTGGTGTAAGACAAGGATGTTGGCTGTCACCTTCCCACTTCAATTTCGCCATTGGTGAAGTCATGGAGATCGCGTTCACAGGACAAGACTTAAATGTGGAACTTCTCTCAGGTGAAGAACTTCTTGACTTGGAATATGCTGAGGATATTGCCTCCATCTGTGACATTTGACAGTGTTAAGTAGCACTGGACAGATTAGCACTGGTTGTCACCCGTTACGGGCTATGTTTTGCACCCTAGAAGTGCAAAGCATTCTTCCAAAATTGGCAGGGACCACCTTCTGAGCTGACCCTAATGGGGGTCAGCTGGAAGTCATTTGAAAACAACTAACTAGGCGATTGTACCAGCGCTTGTGGAATCGAAGACGAGGTCACAAACCGTATAGCAAAAGCACGAGGAGCTTTTGACAACCATTGCCACCTATGGCGACGGCACGACATCACACTATCCCTGAAGGGTAAAGTGTACAGTACAGCTTTATGTTAGACCATGTTGTACGGTTGTGAAACCTGGCCCATTGGATCAGCCGACATAAAGAGGCTAGTTACGTTCGACCACCGGTGCTTTCGCAGTTTGGCTTATGAAAGAAGTAGGAATCAGCAGTACGCAGGTAGGCAGTACCGCAGTTTCGCTGCCAAGCCCCCACCACCGATAACACGTGAGCTAAGGATACTGCGAGGGTCGCCCTGCTCCTACGGAGGCTAGAACCTGCCTCGTCATCCTACAAGACTAGCTCGTTACCTTTAGGCGACGGGTCGGCAGTTTGGTGGGAAGTGTGTTCGACGAAGAAATGGACTGCTCTACACCGTTATATCACGCAACGGGCTCAGATGGTTGAACCAAGTGTTGCACATGCAAGCCCACCGACTCTCGCGAGGTGCGTTGCTTGCACGCCGGAGGTGTGGATGGAAGAAGAGGAGCGTTGGCCAAGTGATGACTTGGTTAAGAGGAATGAAGATCTTTATTTAGAAATATGGCTCGGTTGGAGCCTCTAGGCTCCCTAGTTGTAGTCTGAAAGACTTGGACAAGTTTGGTTGAATACACTTGTTGACATGGTGATGAGCCGACCTCAATGGCGTTTGTATTGTGAGTTTCTTTGTCCCTCCCAATCTCGCTTAACCCCCTACAACAACGATCTCATTTTGTAAGTATAATGTAACGTTTTTTGTGGCACAATAGCAGGCTGGTAGTTCTCCGGAACGATGCCCATCCGTTACCGGTGGCTCAGCTGGCATGCCTGTTGCATGTTTTTCTTCTTTTCACATGTATTGCGGTACAATAACTGAGATGTTTTCCATCACTAGCTAACGTGTGTAGTATATGATGGCAAGCAAAAATACGATCGGGCAAATGTTAGGTATTAGCCGCTCAGGACACCGAATTCCATGACCTGTTTCGTACGTAGTTACACGTGTCGAGAGAACGCACACCAATAACTCGCACCTAGGACGTAGAGGAAACCGGCTGACGTCTTTATTTGTATGCCATCGAGACGCAAACTACACCGCCTGAAATGAACCCACACAACATGTTCTCATTTTTCATCTATGATAACAGAAGTGACGAAGGCCGGATTCCCCTGTAGAGATTTATGTCGTAAAGAAGAGAGGTGCAGAAAGAGACGGCGACAGATTCGATCGGAGACAAGTTAGTAAAAGTGCCAAGATCGACAGATGCAGGAAATTTATGGTAAGTCAGTGTACTTTCACATTAACGTTATCCCGTACTCCCTTCTGCTCAGTGTGGACTAGAGATGAAAGTGTGCAACTAAGATGGATACGGAGCTAGTTTCGGGAGGGAGGATGCATTGAGAACAGTATACACACAACATTTGATGAATAACAAATAACAACGATAAATGTGACAAAGGTACGTGCGAAACAACTGAAGCCTAGTTTCTGTGTCAAATGGTCTGAGAGAACACACCGCGTAGATAACGGCTGCGTCAATTTAGTCGATAAACTGTGAGCTGAGAAATGAAGTATACCGCACCCAATAGAAATGTCTTGCGACGGAGAAGTAAGTGAGTAGTGAAAAATGTCAAAGGAATCTGCCGACTAGCATAGAAAAAATGTGATCTGACCAGCATAGAATCTAACTGACTGTTTAGTGAGTCGCCCGTCAGGTGCCAAATACCGATGGACGGATATCGACTGTACGCATTGAGTAGTAGCATGTACAGTAGCAAACTAATACGTGGCGGACACACAACCAGTATGGCACTAGTTCAGCTCAGTTCTTCAGTTAGTTAACTCAATACGTGCGACGGACCCAGCTGTCTTGACACGCCGCCAAGATACCACGGCTACAGAGAGGATGATTAA